TTTAGCAATATTTTCAAACGAATCGGTACATTATGTACATAAAGACAAGCAAACGCGTGAAAAGACAATGATGTTGGCTGTAGAAAATATAGAAAAATCTGTTCCATTCGTACAATGCGGTTTACTAACTAATCAATGTACCTGCATAACATTGGTGATTTGTGGAGAAGGCATAGCATTTTCTGTTCTTGTCATTCACTAAAACAGGAGGTAATGAATCGGGAACTTTTGTACAAAGTTTTTATCTGCTTCAAATTGAGTCGCGTAAGCAAAACGTACGAAGAACAAAATATGTTATTGAAGTTCTACATCAAAAACAAGTTTGGTCAAGATAATAAAAACTTTGGCCAGCAAATGTCCTTAAAGGCAAAGCCGGACAACATGTTTCGTGTGACATGTCAAGCAAAAGTTATTGCGTTATATGGAGAAATATGTACACCATTAAATCTAGGGGAAATGTTTTGCAGACATTAAGATTTTTAAAAAATTGTAATATTCTGGAACAAAATTAATTTACACTCAGTGAAACTTTTGAAACTATTGAAACCTTATTTTCAATACAAACATAGCAGACAAAAGTCTGAATTGCGTTAGTATTTACACACCATTGACCTCGTTTTATATTATAATACAAAAACCCTGGGTATTCACAGTATCAAAAGTAAATTCTTAATTTCTATATAAAACAAATTGGCATCTCTTAAAGATTGAAAATTAATTACCTACTAAAAAATCGTAGTTTAACATAGAATGATAACAAGATAGGTGCAGTTTAAACTTCAAATATAAAGATTTGAAATTCAGAACGTTTGCTTACAGTTCAGAGTTCACTGATCATTGTTGAGAAGGTGTATCTAATAAAGATGGTTTCCGGCGTGTATATAAATAATCAATGCACAAAATCCATACAGATATATACATTTCACATACCTATGCGAGGAATGTTAATGTCTTTTGTAACGTAACATTTCATGTCTCCTGATCTCTATATTGCAAAAAAGTTTCCGTTGCCGTTACATGAACCATATGACAACATAACACGATACCTTAATCAATTTAAGTACCATACCCTAGTATACGTAAAACAAAGATAGGTGCTTGCAGAATATTGCTTGCTTAAAAACTATTGGATGCTTTCGTGTTCCAATACTGTCATCCCAAGTATTTTGTTTATTCTACATATATTTTCCAGGTCAAGATATGTACGAAAACCAAACAACACTTGACTAGACCCTGCATAATTCTAGCAAAGAAAATAATTCTGTAAGGGTTTTTGACATCGACAAGAACGTCCGATCATATAACAAGAGTCTTGTCTTAAATAAATCATAATCTATTGTCAGTTCTTGGTTGAAGAATCCATACGTAAATCCCACGCGAGTACAAAGCTAAAATATCTAGACTCGCACACCGGATTGTAGTAAGAGAAGCGGTGAAAGTTCATACGGTAGAAATTAACATTACAGGATCTAACTGACCACAATTAACGTTTTAAAAATATTCCCTTCAATAGCTCATATAAACGATTTACTAACTAATCCCCGGCATTGCATAATATTCGCATTGTATAGAAGACATGGCATTTTCTATTCTTGTCATCCACTAGAACGTGTGACCATGAACCGGGAATATTTGTACAAGATTGTTATCTGCTTGATTAATGTGAGTTAGAGAAACGTACCAACATCAATCATGTTAATGGAATTCCATGACGAAAACAGGTTTGGTCAAGGCGATAAAAACGTTGGGCAGCACATGGACTAAAACGTGATGGCTGAAGACTTGTTTTATGTGACATTTCAATAAAAAAATGTCGTGTTATATGCAAATACTTATAGAAGACCTTATTAAACAGTCTTAAGAATCTTGCTTTTTATAGATTTATGCAGCTTTCTAGGACGAGATTACTTTACAGAAATTACGTACAATGATTAAGGAAACAATATATGATGTAATATGCATCTATGAGACATATTTAACATTTGACCGTCAAAACCGTAAAAAGAAATGAAAACGTTTATAGAATTTTTTACGAACGAATTGGTACAATATGTACATAAAGACAAACAAACGCGTGACAAGACAATGATGTGGGTTGGACAAAAGATAGAAAAGTCTTTTCATTCATATAAAGCGATTTACTAACTAATCCATGCCCCTGCATAAGATTGGTTTTGTGAAGAAGGCATGGCATTTTCTGTTCTTGTCATCCAATAAAACGTACGGTCACGAACAAGGAACATTTGTAAAAGTGGTTATCTACTTCAATTCAGTCGCGAAAGTGAAACGTACCAACAACAAACCCTGTTATTGAAGTTCTACCTCAAAAACAAGTTTGGTCTAGGTGATAAAAAAATTTGGCCAGCACATGTCCTTAAATTGTGAAGCCTGACAACATATTTTTGTGTGACATGTCAAGCAAAAGTCATTGCGTTATATGGAGAAATATGTACACCTATTAAATCTAGCAAAATGGTTTGCAGACATTAATATTTAAACAAATCTGTAGCGCTCTGGAAAACAATTAGTTTACACTCAGTGTATTTAATAAACATAGCTTCAAGCGTGTATATAGATAATCAATACACATAATCTATACATATCACATATCTATGCGAGGAATGTTAATCTCTACTGTAAGGTAAGCTTATAATATTGCATGTCTTCAAATGTCTATAGTCTCAATACAAGAAAAACATGTCGTGTTATATGATATCTGGAGAAGACCTTATCTAGCAGTCTGAAGAATCGTGCTTTTTATAGATTTTTACAGTTTCTGGGACCAGATTACTTTAGAGAAATTACGTACAATGACCAAGACAACAATATATGATGTATATATGCATCTCTGAGACGTATTTTGACCGTTGCAAACCGTAAAAGAATTGAAACTTTTTTTAGCAATTTTTACAAACGTGCGGCCATGAACCGGGAACATTAGTACAATATTGTTATCTGGTTAATTAAGGTGCGTAAGCCAAACGTACCGACAACAAAACATGTAATTGAAAACCCATGACTAAAACGAGTTTGGTCAAGCTTATGAACGTTTTGGTCTGCACATGACCTAAAACGTGATCGCTAGAACATGTTTTATGGCTAAATGATTGTTAAAACATGATACGTAATGAGGTGAAATTTTCACTCCATCGTTCTAGTACTATATGGATTTTGCTGATTTTTTTTAAGATTGATGCAGCTATATGGAATCAAATTTCTTTACACAAGGTGCATAAAATGAAGAGACAGTGACCGGGGTGTATATACTCGGGCATTCCTTACACTATTACATTTCTATGTAAAAATATTTAGTGCTTTAACCGTTTTAAATCAATGAGAAAGAATTGAATCTTAAACGTTTCCATGTCTCCTAAGTTCGGTATTATCATTAATTGTCATTACAAAAAAAAAGACATTATAGCGGATTAGGAATGTATTATTAACAGTATCGAAACGAAATAAGATAGTATACTGAAGTACTA